CGCCAATGACTGCGACACAGAGTGTGCCACAACTTACCTGGGTCATATGTAAGTATGGAAGATGCCGAGCACTGCTTCGGCTCGGATGCCCCGTGCTCTGCGGCACGAGTGTACCGACTGAGGCTCTCCGAGGTTCCACATCCTCTGCTGCAGTCACGGATGAGGTCACTGAGGCCGCTACAAGCGAAGAAGGTACGACAGCAGCTCCCGAAGCAACGAGTACGACTGGTTCTGAAGCTACTGTCGATGCCACAGTGGCGGCCAGTACAGCTGTTATGACCGATGAGGTGGCTGTCACTACTGCACCTCCTGTGACTGGCGAAGTGACCATCAGCACGGCAGCTGGGGAAGCTCCCGGTAGAGACAAGGATGACTCTGATGCTACCACCAAGGTCACTACGGAGGCTGCAACTGTCACGACTACGATCGGTGCTCCTGTTGAGCCTACTACTATCACGTCCCCTTTCCCGGTCAGCACAGCTGCTGTGACCGATGAGGTTGCTGTCACTACTGCAGCTCCTGTGACTGGCGAAGTGACCATCAGCACGGCAGCTGGGGAAGCTCCCGGTAGAGACAAGGATGACTCTGATGCTACCACCAAGGTCACTACGGAGGCTGCAACTGTCACGACTACGATCGGTGCTCCTGTTGAGCCTACTACTACTATCACGTCCCCTTTCCCGGTCAGCACAGCTGCTGTGACCGATGAGGTTGCTGTCACTACTGCAGCTCCTGTGACTGGCGAAGTGATCATCAGCACGGCAGCTGGGGAAGCTCCCGGTAGAGACAAGGATGATTCTGATGCTACCACCCCGGTCGCTACTGAGACTGCGGCTGGCACTACTACGATCGATGCTCCTGTCGAGCCTACAACTGCTATCACGACCCCTCAACCGGTCAGCACAGCTGCTGTGACCGATGAGATTGTTGCTACTACTGCAGCCCCTGTGACTGGCGAGGTCACCATCACGACGGCAGCTGGGGAAGCTCCGGGAAGAGACAAGGATGATTCTGATGCTACCACCCTGGTCGCTACCGAGACTGCGGCTGGCACTACTACGATCGATGCTCCTGTTGAGCCTACTACTATCATGACGTCCCCTCAACCGGTCAGTACGCCCGCTGAGACCGATGAGGTGGCTGTCACTACTGCAGCCCCTGGACTGGCGAA